TGACAAACACCATTGGTATAGACATTTTTATAGCAAATGCATTCCCGTACATTTCGTAACAAGAATATCACACTTTGCTCTCCCACATACGCTTAGATGTAAAATAACGTAAAAAATGGGGGGAAATATCTAATTACATTACTGCTCCGTTCACATGCATAATGGGGAGGAGACAAATATTTCAATAAAGAATTCAATAAAGACAAATATTTCAATAAAGAATTCAATAAAGAATTCTCCCCAACAAATTGGGGACTTAATCTAAGCATTGTCCCCTAAATCTTATAGGCAGGCCCCCAGAATGGGGAGGAGGGCTCTGCCCCAAAGGCAAGGGGCACTGAGGAAGCAGGAGGGACTCACAGGCGTGTTTCCATGCTTGGGGCATGGACGCTGTCACAGGGAAATAGAGAAGTCCATGAATGCTGACATACAAAGAAAACCCAAATCTGGGGCCAAGAGTGAAATCTTACTTCCTTCTCTATTTCACTATATTTCTCCTCTGTGTGCATCACCACGTGACCTTGACCTGAGCCAGGCAGAAATGTCACAGCTGTGTTTGCACTGACATGAGGCCGCAGAGGAGGTGGAACCCACACCCCCTGCAGCATCTCCGGGGCCTGGGGACCCCGTGGGAGGTGAGGACCCTCAGGGATGTGCTGAGAATGAAGGAGAACCCGTAAGGGAGGCTCTGGGAGGGAAGGATGTGCCCTGGTCTCCTCACCTGGATGGGACATCTCAGGAAGCCTTGGGTCCACTTGCTGCACCATCATGGACATCAGAGTTGGTCCCCTGGAAACAGGCTGTTCCCCTTCCTGTGGGGCTGCTGACGTGACAACCCCATGACCAGGCAGACCAGCCCCCAAGTGGCCACACCCTGTGCTTCTGTCTGTCCTGTGGGCACTGAGGTCCCTCCATCTGCATAGCCAGGGCCAGAGGCAGAGACGCCATGACCCCCACCCTCATGGCCCTGCTCCTCCTCGGTGAGATCTCAGGAGGGGAGGGGATGCCCTAGTCTGGGAGGGACCCGCGTCACAGCCAGGCCCTGGGGTTTCAGAGACCCCAGGCACAGGAGGCTTATGGGGAGGAGGGGTTCTGCTCAGGATTCGGGGCCATCCTCTCACAGGAACTCTCTTCCAGGGCTGAGTGTGGAACCCAGGACCCAAGTGCAGGCAGGTGAGTGTGTCCCCAGGTGTCCCATCCCACCTCCTCACTGGGGATGGGGGTCATCCACCAGGCAGCTGGGAATGGAGGACAGCAGTTCTGGGCAGATGGAGAGGGGACTTCTGGGGTTTGGGGCTGAGCTAAGAACTGAGGGTGGGGAAGGTCTTGTGATACAGCCTCTGTTTCCTTCCAGGGACCCTCCCCACACCCTCCATCTGGGCTGAGCCAGGCTCTGTGGTCCCTTGGGGTAGCGCTGTGACCATTTGGTGTCAGGGGACCCTGGAGGCCGCGGAGTTCTATCTGGATAAAGATGGACACTCAGTGCCCTGGGACAGACAACCCGCAGTGGAGCCCAGAGACAAGGCCAAGTTCTCCATCATATACATGACAGAGCAGTATGCAGGCCAATATCACTGTTACTATCGGAGCCCCGCTGGCTTGTCAGAGCACAGTGACCCCCTGGAGCTGGTGGTGACAGGTGCGAGCCCCCTCAGGGTCCCCGCCCCAGGCTCTGCCCTCAGGGA